ATGCTGACTGTTACACATGTTAAAAAAATATTTAAATTTAAACTTAACATATGATGATGTACTTCTTTTTTGAAAAAAAATGACATGTTTGAAAAGAGATGTGTAAAATTAATCTTTTAAAGATAAGTTTCTTTAAATAGGGAGTGCTGTTCAGAGGTTCGCCAAAGTGGTTAATTTAAAATAATTATGTTTTCCCTTTAGTTATATAATTTATAATGGAAGAAACAACATGATCAATTATATGCTTAGTGCTTAGTGTGACCATTAATATCTTTGAAATATGTGCTTAGTATTCCTTTCCTTTGTTACTCCATCTTATTGGAGCAACAAAGTTTCAGGTTTTTCTGATAACTTTATTGGAAAACCATCAGGTTAACTAATTTCATTGTTGCTCCATCTTATTTGATGCTTTTGTTAGTATTCCTTTCCTTGTTCTGCGTATTGAGCTAATTCTTCCTGTGAAACAGACTTGCTCAGAGAATAGTGCAAGGAGATGTTCCTCAAGCTTTGATGAACCGTAGGGTATGTGCTTTTATAGAGATAAATGAACCGAACTGGTTTTCAAGTTTCTATTCTATTACATCCTCTGACAGCCTAGTTTTACTGTCATTTTCCTAAGTAAAATATAATTCTTCTTGTCTTGGAAGTTTGTATATTGTTTTGGAATTGTAAAATTGATCATTTAGCACTGATCTCTCTTCAGCTTATATCTCTTGATATGGGTGCTCTGATTGCTGGAGCAAAGTATCGGGGGGAATTTGAGGATAGGCTGAAAGCCGTACTAAAAGAAGTAACAGAATCTGATGGTCAGACTATCCTTTTCATTGATGAGATTCATACAGTGGTTGGGGCAGGTAATAAGCTTCAAACTATACCATTTTCAGCACTCAAAGGGTCATAATACTTCGTGATGCAACTTGCTTAAGATACCAAAACTCTTTGAATCAGAGAGGATTCTGATCTTAGATGATATATTTTAATTCATATTATTTTCCTAAAATATGACTCTTGATTGTGGCTCATTCCATATGGAGATCTAAATTTACATGTTGGATGTTGGATTTGATTGCAATTATAATCTATCTTATGTTAGGAGCCACAAATGGTGCTATGGATGCTGGAAATCTCTTAAAGCCTATGCTTGGTCGGGGCGAGCTGCGATGTATTGGTGCAACAACACTGGATGAGTATCGGAAGTATATCGAGAAGGACCCAGCACTAGAGCGTCGTTTCCAGCAAGTTTATGTTGACCAACCTACAGTTGAAGATACAATTTCAATACTAAGGGGGCTGCGGGAAAGATATGAACTACATCATGGTGTCCGAATTTCTGACAGTGCACTTGTGGAAGCTGCAATTCTGTCAGATAGATATATCAGTGGGAGATTTTTGCCAGACAAAGGTAATAACACTTGTTTTAAACTCTCAGGCAATGTTTCTGGAGCATTGACCTTTATTTAGTTATATAAGTTACTATTATGACACAAATTTCATATGAAAGAGATTTGAATTCTGGATTAGAACATTTTCTGACCGAAACTCTTGGTGAATATTTTGCACAAGGATTGATAAGTTTCTGGAGCAAATAACATTGCTTCTAGTAATAAGTTACTTTTTTGTGACACTTGCAACTTATATATGAAAGAAATTTGGATCCTGGATTAGAACATTTTCTGAATTTTTAAGCATGCTTCTGAGAAAATATGAATTAAGGGGAAGGTTAATGGAAAACAATTAACTTATAGATGTCGGTTTGAATAAGAGCCCCTATAAAGTTGTTCTTGAAAGCCTTGAACTGCCAATGCTTAAAGAATAGTTTGCCGCCTGCCATTAAGGGATAAATCATATAAAAATTTGAAACCATTTTGTGAACATCAAATCTGTAGTACTTGGCTGCTGTTGGGAACATAGACCATAATACTTGGTTTCTGAAGGATCTGGTTTTGAATGATCAAAATATAGTTCTGTCCTCTTGAGTGACTGATCTCTTTTTGTTTCACTTAAGTTGTCAAAATTTCTTCTTGACTGGCATCAGAATTGACAATGCCCATAAAGCACTAATTGCTAGCTTCTTCTAAATTGCAGCTATTGATCTAGTTGATGAGGCCGCTGCCAAATTGAAAATGGAAATCACTTCTAAACCTACAGCACTTGATGAGATAAATCGGTCAGTGCTGAAACTGGAGATGGAGAGACTTTCTCTCATGAATGATACAGATAAGGCTTCTAAAGATAGGCTTAATCGTCTTGAGGCAGAGCTTTCTCTCTTGAAAGAGAAACAGGTTGAGCTGACTGAACAGTGGGAGCATGAAAAGTCTGTAATGACTCGCATTCAATCAATCAAAGAAGAGGTGTGTTATTATGCAACCTTTCTTGTTGAAGGCTGTCTTTCTTATTTTAATTAAGCAATTGTTTAAAACAGTGGTAGGATGAATATAGCATTGTGCAGTATTTTCAGCACATGGAAGTAATGCAAGTATATGGGGTTGAGTTCCTAATTATAAGTGAAGCTAGAAATTTAATTATGTAAAAGATGATTATATTGTATTATATGTTCAACAGCCGATACTAATGATTTCTTTATTTATGCATCAGATAGACAGGGTGAATCTGGAGATCCAACAGGCTGAGCGGGAGTATGATCTTAATCGCGCTGCTGAATTGAAGTATGGCAGTCTAAACTCCTTGCAACGGCAACTTGAAAGTGCAGAGAAGGAGTTAGATGAATATATGAACTCTGGTAAGTCTATGCTGAGAGAGGAAGTTACAGGAAATGATATTGCTGAAATTGTAAGCAAGTGGACTGGTATCCCTGTTTCAAAACTTCAGCAATCAGAGAGGGAGAAGTTGTTGTATTTAGAGGAAGTGCTTCATAAGCGTGTTGTAGGTCAAGACCCTGCTGTTAAGGCAGTTGCTGAGGCTATCCAACGTTCAAGAGCAGGTCTTTCAGATCCTCATCGTCCAATTGCTAGCTTTATGTTTATGGGACCAACAGGTGTAGGAAAGACAGAGCTGGCTAAGGCACTTGCGGCCTACTTGTTCAACACAGAAGAAGCTCTTGTACGAATTGATATGAGCGAGTATATGGAAAAACATGCTGTTTCAAGATTGATTGGGGCTCCACCTGGATATGTTGGGTACGAAGAGGGAGGGCAACTTACTGAGACAGTTCGCCGCAGACCATATGCTGTTATTTTGTTTGACGAGATTGAGAAGGCACACGCAGATGTCTTCAATGTTTTCCTTCAAATTTTGGATGACGGAAGAGTAACCGACTCACAGGGTCGCACTGTGAGTTTTACCAACACTGTTATCATTATGACCTCAAATGTTGGATCACAGTACATTCTGAACACAGAAGATGAAACCGTGCCAAAAGAGTTGGCTTATGAAACCATAAAACAGCGCGTAATGGATGCTGCAAGATCCATCTTTCGCCCTGAGTTTATGAATAGAGTTGATGAATATATTGTTTTCCAGCCCCTAGACCGTGACCAAATAAGTAGCATTGTCAGGTTACAGGTAATTTTCCAGCCCCATGTCCAAAAATTGCTTGATTCATATGTCCATATTGATTGCCAACGTTTGTAAAGGTATTTACAAACTATATGTCTGAATCTTATGTCTCTTGTTTTGACATGTGAAGCTATTAGTATGAACTGTCAACTTCATTAAGCCCATTGCATGATTTGCATGCTGCTGTTACGTGGTATTTTCACATCCCTAATAACACTCATCCTTTTGTGGTATATTTCAGTTGGAGCGTGTGCAGAAGAGAATTGCAGATCGCAAGATGAAAATTCAGGTGACGGATGCTGCTATCCAACTTCTTGGGAATTTGGGGTATGACCCCAACTATGGTGCTAGGCCAGTCAAGCGAGTGATTCAGCAGAATGTGGAAAATGAACTTGCCAAGGGTATTCTCAGAGGAGAAATTAAGGAAGAGGACGCAATTTTAATAGACACAGAACTCACGGCATTTACCAACGGTCAACTTCCCCAGCAAAAGCTTGTTTTTAAGAAGCTAGCAGCTGATTCTGAACCTACCACTCAAGACTCCTTGGAACCCTTCCCACAGGCTCCATGAATTCCTTCTACTGCTTCTTAATTTTCATTTACACAAATTTTAGTATACAATTTCCTTGTACCAATTGAACAGTGATCCCGGGGTAGCTTGCATCTAATACATATTGTCTATTATCAATACGAATACCATGTCAAAGTGTCTCACGGTTGTCAGTCGAAATCATTGCAAATATAATAAATTTTTACCTTAGTTGAACAAGTCGCTTCCTGCAGAATTAGCCAGGCCAACCCATCATATACTGTTACTAGTGATGTAAATGACCTAGCTGAACTTTTTTCAATAATATTGAGCTGGAATATTTCCAGCTTCATTAAGAATTAAAGCTTGGCTATGAGAAGCATTGAAGTTTAAACAGTTCAGAAAAAATACAAAACGGGTATTCAAATGACAAATTAAAGAACGTAGAAGCATAAATTATCTCATTCTAAGACATTCCTGCTGGA